AGGGGCAACGGAGCCCGGGAAGCACCGCGGGGGTGTCCGGCGGGGGGGGGGGCCTTCTTCGGGACACAGAAGCGATCTGGCGACAGGTAACTCGCCAGAATCGCTTCTGTTGTAAAGCAGACAGTCAACTCTACAAGTTTAAACAGAGTCCCGGCGACTTCTGTTTAAACAGCCCCGATGCTGACGACGTACACCGTACGTCGTCAGTCACGAAGGGGTTAATATATTAATATTTTAATATTTACAGCCCCTGCTGCCCCACCACTCTACAGTATTGAAAAGAAACCAGCAGGTGATGATTCTGCAGAACCTGACACTTTCAGGGATGTTTGTTACAATTACATTCTCAACTACACCCAGTACAGAGATTTTTTCGTTCACAGGACAACAATCTTCACATCAGCAGACTGAGAGGGATCATCACTGAGGCAGGTTAATCAAGCAGTTAACCTGTAACAAACACAGTGTGTTTTAAACATCACATGTTTAACTTCTGACCTTTTAATTGTTTCTGTATCACATACTGCCATGTCCAGACAGGAATGTAACAGAGTTTACACTACCGTAGCATCTTCAAAGAGGCAAGGGCCAACATTTCTAGTTAAAGCATTTCAGAAATTCAGCTTAACAATTTTAAAAAATAACTTTAATGAAAAGAAGAATGGTGCAAAAAATAATTATGTAACAGATATTGCAAAACTGATCTAAGCAACAGTAGAAGGGCTTTGAACGTGAAATATACATAAGTGAAGTTCTCCTGGTTCAGTGCATAGTTCAGATCACTTACAGAGTAGGTCTAATTTAATAAGCAGTCACTGGTCCTAATAAATTACTTCCGTATTTACTTAATAAGGATTCCTTAGTAGTTGTGATGGTGAGATGAGAGCTTGCTGCTGTTAGGGCAACATCTTTTTTTATCACGATAGACAGTGTCCCAGAGCTAACTCCATCCAATCAAAGGAAGGATATTCAGTCATGCAATGCTGTACTGAAATTAATTTTATACCATTTTTTGGGGACACATGGAGCTTTCTTATGGTGATATTTATTCACCACTGGGGTTTTTCTTTGTTTACTATATTAAGGAAAAATTACCAAACATTTTGGAAAAAAAACTGTTTCCCCAAAATAAATTAGGAAACATTTTTTATTACCCAATTTTTGGTAAAATATAAAAGACTGGGTCATGCCGAGTAAATAGACACCAAACATGTGAAGCCTTAACATTGCGCACGCCTGCAAAACCTCAAAAAAATACAATACCCCAAATTGGCCATAGGTGAGGCTTTAAAAGCTTTTACCTCATCAGTTTAGTGTTATCAGTGATTGATGGCCCTAAAAGTATTGCTCTTACTCCGATGTTCGCGGCAATATGTAACCTGTGTACTGCAATTTTCATTTTCACGCATTGGTGCATCTGACACGTATTTACGTTTATTTATGTGTATACGTGGAAGTGGTAGACTTTAAAGTTTTAAAAAAAATGTATGACTTTTTTTTTTTACACTTAATGTTATTGAATCACATAGGGGGATAGTAAGCCCCCTATGTGATAGCACAGGCACACTGAGAGGACCTCTTTATGGAGACATTAGGGGTCTGTAAGACCCCTAATGTCACCTGGGGACCCCCAAAGATGCTGATGAAGCAGAGATCTGCTTCACCAGCTTCTTCTTTTGGCTATAGCAGCCAGAAAAATGACAGCTGAATGTGGAAGTGATGTAATACTATCTGATCTCCCTCTCATCTTCCTCCTGACACCTGCCCGAGCCGTTCCCGGGCCGCAGAGGGGACAGCAGAGCACTGTGGGGGGGGGGGGTACGCAGGGCAGCACGTACAAGCGATTGGATGGCTATAGAGCTATAGGACTGATAGGTCAAATAAGTATACTCTTTTCCTTAGTCTTCTTAGTTTGTCAAACTCTTTCTTTCTCTGTCTCTCTCAATTTGTTTCTGATTCTCTAGATCTTTTTCTGCCTTTCTCTTTAGAGAAATATATTACAATATAATTAGAAAACTTGAAAAATACATACTACAATTGTTAACAAGCCAGCCTCCACAAATAACCTACTATACTGGACTAGTTACCACCCGAAGTCCCCAAAAAGGGGAATACCAATGGGATTTTACACTAGTGTGACATTTAATACAGATAAAACTCTAAAGGTTTTTATAGTTCATAGCCACTTAAAAAACAGAGAGAGAGAGAGAGACAGAGTAATAGAACAAAGATCATGGTTGCCCCAATGATCAATAAGAACATTCCAATGTGGCAATTGTAAAAAAAATTTATATAGTCAACCACAAAGAAATTGTTTAATTATTGCAACAAATGTGGACATTATTCAAATTAGATAATTTTCCTTATGCAGCCCCAACGATTCATGTATCAAGCTGTGCCTGCCCCCCACTATATATAGGAAAAACAATCGAACCATAAAGGAGGTGGATCCTAGAACACGTTGATAATGTCCTACTGAAGAGGGAAAAACTAGCTTGATGCATGTGGGCCAGACATAAAAGGGGAACACAAATGTTTAAACCTCTGGATGATACAACAGAAAGGTTTGAGTTTGGGCCCATGAAAAGCTGATTTGAAAAAAATCTTAATCCAAGACAAAATACCCGTATAGCTTATATGAAGAGTTCATGTATTTAACATTTGTACACAAAATAATTACTATGAGAATTTTGTATTTTGAGCAGAAATGTGTTACATTTTCAATATTTCAAAAATTATTGTAATTTTTACAGTGAAAAATGTATCCATATTGGAGATATGATGAACAATATGAGCCTCAAGTCACATAGATGTTTGCAATAGACATAGCCCAGTCCCAGGTTTAAATCGCCAGAGCTGCATAATAAGTATACATTTATTAAATGTGCACTAACATTAAAATATACCCTTATGTTTTCCCCTCAAGTAAAATGGCAGAATAGATCAATGTCAGGAGAACTGATAGTTCTAGGAACTGTGGGCCTGGAAGCAGAGATTTGACATAAGGAGCATATTCGTTTATTTATAGCAAAAGCCTTTTGCACTCCTATCAACATATAAACATACTGTACAAGTGCCTAAGCAGCCAGCACCTTAAAAGATTATCTGTGTGATAATCTGTGATCCTAAAAAAAAAAAAAAATACAAAAAAAAATACAAAAAAAAGAAAAGATTATCTCCTCTAGAAAAATCTAAAAACAGCTATATATAAGTGCATATAAGTGCAGCATAAAAACAATTGATAACAAACGCACAGTGCAAAAACGTTACAGAATAATTAAAATGCACAGTACTACTGAAGAAGCCCAAGGAGATGTAACATGTAGAATGGAGCTTGATGATGCCCACCGTGGAGTTGTCATACAAGCTGGTGCCCAGAGGGTTTGAGTCCATAACAGGGAGAGGGGGGATTGCCTTTTATGATTACATGCACTTTATCTGTGTGCATGCCCTTTGTGCACCAGCAATGTATGTTTTTACTCTTTTTGCTGTATGCCACCCTATGTTCTTTATTCTGAGCTACACTGGAAGATCCTGAGGAAATATCACAATGTGATCTTGGAAGATTATTAAACCCTGAAGGTCTACAACATTTTTGACCAGGCTAATGTACTTTGGTTGTAGTCTATGCAAAGAGGTAAATTCCAGTCCTCTGGAATGGGGAATGACACCTGAGGTACTGACACCATTATGAGACTACCCTGGATGTGAATTGCTTTGGAAGTGTTTACGCTCAAAAGTGGAACAACACTTGTGGATTCACTTGCACTTTGAAGATTATCATTTTCTGCAAATTATTTGGACACTGATTTTTTTACTTTATGTTGTGTTTGTTTACTATTGTATTTTCACAATTGCAATAAGTCACACAAGAGATGAATGGTCTTTCAACTTCATTCATTTTGATATTGGTTGTTGGATGGTTTTGACTTACAGAATTCTATAAATGTTATAATTTTCTTAGTGTGTGTTTATGTTAATACTTGATAGGGAGAACATGTAAGTGATGTATGTGTGCTGTGCATACACACGCCAACATAGTGACAATGTCACGCTGATCTCTGTAAGGCTATAAATATAACATGAATAATGGTGCATTGCCCATTTTGTTATTATTTGTTGTACACAATGTACGGATCACTGGCACAATTTGCACATCCCCTGATGAAGACATTATTTGTGTAGAAATATGTTGGGAATAGTTTTGTTTTGTGGGCACTGATATCATTTGTTAGTCGCCAGCAACAGATATCTAGAGAAAGGAGATCTCTAATTATTATTACTAATACATTTCTCTAAAGGGAAAGGTGGAAAGAAATATAGCAAAGATAAAGTCTGTGCAGAGGCAAAGTAAAATGACCAGAGAGATAGAAAAAGAAAGCTTGCAAGATCTTGAGAGGCAGAAAGAATCAAGAGAGACAGAGATAAGAGGCTGAAGAACTAAAGAGACTGAGGAAATGAGTATATTTATTTTAGATAAAGCAGTATTATTATCAATGTACAAAGAGAAAGGAAGATGGATACTTCAAGCATAAGAAAGAAGAAAGAGAGATAGAAGTAAGAGAGAAAGAAGAATATAAAGACAGTAGGGGAAAGATTGTGAGATAAAGAGAACTGAAACAGAGAACTAGAAAGATCCAAGGTCCACTGCTCCAAGCTCCTTCCCGCGATGGACTCCAATCTCAATACAAATTAGTAAACTAAACATGATATTCTAGTTTACGAGAGTGAGCTTGGAGTGGTGGCTACTTTACAACACACATGGAACATGGGGAACT